CCCACACCCACCCACACCCACACCACACCCACCCAAACACACACCCACACCCGCTTTGCATTTGTTCAAGCCCAATAAATGATCATTTAGCCGTCCATGAGATATTTGTAATTCCAGAGTAGGCAGGAATGAGCAGGAATGAGCAGGAATGAGCAGGAATTCCTGCATTTCCTAGTGATTCCGCATGTGCACAAATTCCGGAATTCCGGTTTGTATTTAATCAAGCTCGATAAATGATCATGCAGTCATCCATGAGATATTTGTAATTCCGGAATAGGCGGGAATGTGCAGGAATGACCAGGAATTCCTGCATTTCCTAGTGATTCCGGATATGCACAAATTTCGGAATTCCGGTTTGTATTTATTGAAGCTCCCCAGGTCAATCAATCCTAACTAACGGATTCCAGTGCGGATATCGCCGGAATCTGGCAAAACCCGGCAAGAATAGACAGGATTCGGTCGGATTTTGCCGGATTCCGACGATATCCGACGTCGGAATCCGTTAGTTAGGATTCCGGCAGAATTTGTACAGGTTCCAGCCGGAATTATTTGGAACCTACAGGATCCGATGTCCCCTCTTGGACCTGGGTCGATAAATGATCATGTAGTCATCCATGAGATATTTGTAATTCCGGAATAGGCAGGAATGTGCAGGAATGACCACGAATTTCTGCATTTCCTGGTGATTCCGGATATGCACAAATTCCGGAATTCCGGTTTGCATTTAATCAAGCTCGATAAATAATCGTGTAGTCATCCATGAGATATTTGTAATTCCGGAATAGGCAGGAATGTGCAGGAATGAGCAGGAATGTGCAGGAATGAGCAGGAATGTGCAGGAATGTGCAGGAATGAGCAGGAATGAGCAGGAATGTGCAGGAATGTGCAGGAATGTGCAGGAATGAGCAGGAATGAGCAGGAATTCCTGCATTTCCTAGTGATTCCGGATATGCACAAATTCTGGAATTCCGGTTTGCATTTAATCAAGCTCGATAAATGATCATGCAGTCATCCATGAGATATTTGTAATTCCGGAATAGGCAGGAATGTGCAGGAATGAGCAGGAATTCCTGGATTTCCTAGTGATTCCTGATGTGCACAAATTCCGGAATTCCGGTTTGCATTTAATCAAGCTCGATAAATGATCATTTTGCCATCCATGAGTTATTTGTAATTTCGGAATAGGCAGGAATGCCTAGGAATTCCTGCATTTCCTAGAGATTCGAGATGTGCACAAGTTCTGGATTGCAGAAATTCAGAAGGCGATGCAGGAATGTGTAACTTTTGGGAATAGGAAGTATTCTCACTTGTGGTGATGTGTACGCTCCACTCCAACGCAGGAATATTTGATTATACTATATTGTTCGTCTATTTACACATATCTTTTACATCTATCGAATTTATCCATGGTCAATAACTTCCTTATTTTAATTATATTTGGCTTTCATTGCACATTTCATAATTAGCTCTACTGCATAAGCTTAATTACAATCGAATAGAATTAGTAATACAACTGGAGAATGATGAGAACATCGACTCCCATCTATATTTTCTTTATTCGAGTTGATATGTGAAAATCTTGACACTTCACGGATGAGCCGATTTTTGGTAACAGTCTAAAGTGTCCCTGGAAAAATGTCCTTTCAAAAATATCCGCGATATTTTGTCTTTCGAAAAAATGTCCTCCGGAAAAATGTTCCTCGTTAAAATATTCTTCAAAAAAATGTCTTTCATTCTTAAAATGTTCATTTTTATACTAAGGAAACATTTTGCAAGGACATTTTATCGAAGGACATTTCGACGAAGGACATTTTTTCCAAGGACGAAATATCGGGAACATTTTAGAGGGTGTGGATGTGGGTGTTGGTGTGGGTGTGGGTGTGGGTGTGGGTGTGAGTGAATAACAGATCTATACCCACACCCAAACCCACACCCAAACCCACACCCACACTCAAACCCACACCCACACCCATACCACCACACCCCACACCCACCCACACCCACCCACACCACCACACCCCACACCACCACACCCCACACCCACCCACACCCACACCCCACGCCACCACCACACCCACCCACACCCACACCCGCTTCGTGATTATTTAATTAATTGATTAATTGGAAATAGTTAATTAAGTCTTTATGATGAATATTGACCTTATTTTGTTTATTTGTTTGAATCGATATCGAATTTTTGTACTCGATGATTTTGGTTATCAACGACATAGAGATTGCCGTCTCGATCGAATGACAAATCGATGGGCCAATGGAGTTGATTCGATTGTCCTCCTCTACCGTTTCCACCAACAATGACACTTCCCTGTGTGGCTCCTTTGGGCCAACGCATGATTCGATTATTCCCTAGATCAGCCACATAGACAGTGCCCAATTGATCGACAACGACTCCTCGAGGATCTGACAATTGTGTAAGACCATTTCCTTTTCCTTGACCACCAGCCACAACAATGCCTTGTTTTGCACCTTCCATCCATTTCATCACACGATCGTTTCCCCATTCAGACACATATACTGAATGATCTCGATCGACGAATACGTATCGTGGGATAGAGAGTTGATCAAGACGATTTCCATTTCCATTGCCACCTGCAACCACTATTCCTTGAGATTCTCCTCTTCGATATCGTCTCACTTCATGTTTTTCAAAGTCAGAGACATAGAGAGATCCATTCTCATCCATTGTCAAACCCAAACAATAGATGTTGGAGATGATTGTTTCTCCACTTGTTCCATTTCGACGAGGCCATCGAACCACTCTTCTATTCTCACGATCGGAGATGATGAGACTATCTCTCTCTTTGTCGACAATCACATCTTGTGGGTTAGATAATTGATGATCCCCACTTCCTGGTCCATTTCCACCGGCAACCACGTGGCCACTCATTGCACCCCATTTCCATTCCACAATACGGTGATTCGATTGATCAGCAACATAGATTATTTGATCATCATCAACATACAAACCCAATGGGTTTGAGAGTTGATTGATTCCATTGCCTTGTCGATTTCCTCCAGCTACAGTGATACCATTCTGTTGCCATCGAGCATTTGGATGAATGTCAATTGAACTTCCGTTTAATGGAGGGACTGAAATAGAGAGAAAGGAGAAGACAAAATAAGAGCGAGAGAGTATAGAGAGAAAAAAGTGAAAAGTTCATTGGAACTTTTGCAATATCAACATCGTTCCAAGTTTCGTTTCGTTTCCAATATTCTCTTTTGATAGTGGAGGTGGCGCTATCAAAAAATTATTTATTTTGTTTTCTTTTCTTTTCTTTTTGGTTTTCTTTATTACTTAATTTATCATAAAATAACTATTGATAGATGTTTTTCTTTTTTTTTGTCTGATACTAGATAGATAATATCAATTTACTGATACATGGTTGAAAAAACAAAACGTTTTGTTTTTTCTCAACTATCTTTGATCTTGTATTTGAATTAGTGGCCTTTAGAATAGATTTTTCGTAGGGTTGAAATATCTTCAGAGACTATATGAATCTATTGAAATGTAAATCATCTTAATTTATGAAGCATATAAATATACAAATAAATAAAGTTCTTTTTTTGCTTGGAAAGAAAAATAGATCACCGTAGTCAATCTGTTACAAATAATGATTTTTTTTTTAGTCTTATGAAAGATCTAATTATGAGTGCGCATATATATATAGAAAACATTGGAATCTCATATTCTTTTATCGACTAATAGGTAGAACGAGAGAGAGTCATGAATAATAGAAATAAATTAATTAAAAAGAATTAATGAAAAGAAAAAAAATCTTCATTATATTCATATTGAATTTAATAGAATCATCTTTTCTTTATGTGTATAATTAGATATTAGCAACTTCATTAGAGAACATTTCATTATTTACTATACTGCTTTGTTTTTTTTAAAGTTCAAATGAACTCGGAATTTTCCCAATAGATTGAGAAAAAAAAAGAATAAAAGAATTCATATTTCTACATGTATTTTACAAAAAAAAAGAAGAAGAATATCAGAAGTTGAAACTATTTCACATTATTTTTCTTTTCAATTTTTTTCCTCTCTATATGTTCGTTCAATGTATCTTGAAGAAAAAATTCTAGACAAAAAAAAAATTTCTTCAGACTACAGAACTGAAATTTCTCTATTGCTTTTTATTTTCTTTTAGTTCTTCATATTTATCTGAAAAATTACATGTTCATATAGAAGTCATTCTTTTAACGCATTATGTTGTTTTTCTAGAGTCGATTGTTATAATACGGTTATTTTTTACATGTAGTTTTTTTTTACATGTTTTTAGATGTAGAAAAAGCAAAAATAATACGGCTTGTCCGGCTAACGGTTAACCAGAATGATTAAAGTAGAACCTGATAATATCATAGTATACGGTACACTTTACTGTATATGATTGTTTGAAAATTTTCGTTCGTTTGCGTAGGTTTGAAGGGAACGATAGAAAAGAAGCGAGAATACAAATCAAAACTAACTGTTAACACATATTTTGA